GATGAACACGGAGGAGGCAGCCAACACCATGGTAAACTACTGTACCGCCGTCACTCCAGTCCTTCGAAGCCAGCCCATCTATATTCAGTTCTCCAACCACAAGGAGCTGAAGACAGACAAGTGTCCAGACCAAGCAGTTAGTTTTTGTTCTTTACATTGTCGTACTGGTGGGAGGGAGAGATGGTTCTCTCTGCTGCTGTTTGGATTTGTGCTGCTGGTGTAGGCCTGGGAGGGTTTTGAGATTTGGTCTAAGTAGCAAAGTGCTAAACGGAGCACGCTAGCTTCTAGCTTACGGAATTAGGATTCCTATAATAGCTTTTATCCAAAGTCTCAGCAGACTGTTAAATGAGCTGCTAAAACTGCCTTAATGTCAGGGGAGGAAAATGCATAGTGAAAATGAGATCATGAGAAGTGGTGTTTAGTATTCTTGAGTTAGAAACAGTAACTGAATACCTGTCTGAAGACTTGATTAATGTCTAGTGCCTTAGGACATTTGTTTCTAATATTTGAAAGATTGATATAAAAGGAAGCTCTGATGAGGGAAAGACTTGTGGCTGCAGGAGAGTGCAGTCTGTTGCTGGTAAGCGCTATCTCTGAGGCAGGCAGCCCTTGAACGCAGCAGTTCTTAAGGCTTTGGGCTGTCTAGAGTTTCTGTGCAAGATATGCTCTGCATAGGGCAAAAAGTTCCCTTTTTTGGCTCAACTGCTCTTGGCAATCTTTCAGGACAGGAACACTGGAAAGGAGTTCAAGTTACTTGTGCCTCCTTATCAGGGATGGCTGCGGAGTCCATCCCGTTTGCCTCCTCTCACTTTTCAGGCTGACTTTCACCAGGATCAGGACCAGAGCATCTAATGCTGTGCAGATGAGATGCTACTCTTGGGTGCATCTGACAAAGCCAGAATGTGATGCACAAGAGTGAGCACGTGATAATGTTATGTGCGTGAGGGGAACTCCACAGGAAAACTCCAAGTCAGTTTTCCCTCCTGGATCCCTAAAGCAGATATACGTTAATCTTCTAGCCTTGTCAGCTTCTGTAGTGTTCTGGAGATGGTGTTTCACCCTGGAAGAGCCTAGTTTTCTGAACAGTGGAATAATTTTGCTGCATCAGTAGATGCTGAGCAAGATTCTAGCAGTAGCTAGCATAAATGCTTCGTATTTTATTTAGTTTGTATTTTTGCATTGCTCTTACCGATTGAGGTGGTCTGTGTTGTCCATGTTTAAAATGCTCTAAAGTCGTTGCGTCCCTAACCTTAGGAACAGTAAATTGCTTTCTGTTGTTCTGCTAACTGTTAAGTTCTGCTAGAAGTTTGCAGGAAGGAAGCTCAAGAAAAGCTGAATGTGTATTTTTGCAAGCAGAAAAGTGTTGGTCTGACAGCATGTTTGGTTCTGCAGCGTGCCCAAACAGCTCTGCAAACAGCGAATTCTGTTCAGTCTGGAAACCTAGCGCTGCCAGCCTCTGCTGCAGCAGTAGATGCAGGAATGGTGATGGCTGGCCAGAGCCCTGTCCTGAGGATCACTGTTGTGAAACTCCTCTGTCCTCTCACTCTAGATGTTCTGCATCAGGTAAAACACGTTGCCACAACTTCTTGAAGATTGTCCTGGAGGAAGGGGTAGCCACAAATAGTGAATTACTGTATTTGCAATGTCTGTGTTCTAACAGCATGTGCTTTTTATCTGTATAATTCAAGTTTTGAACATAACTGTCAAATTTCTACTTTCTGGAGACCCTGACACCTACACAAGGTGCTTCTGGTTTTGGTTCCAATCTGGCCAGACTTTAATTTCCAGAGATTTGATTGCTGGTCCATTTTCATTGGATTAGTCTGGTGTAGTGCAAGGGACAAGTATTTATGTTCTCAAGAGAGCTCTTCAAGTTCTGTTTAGGGTTTAGCAGAAGCAGCTGCTACATGCCCTGTGTGAGGGTAGGGGGAAATAAATACAGCGTCCATGAGTTATTTAGGCATCAGCCTATTTGGAAAGTTCCTGCTGTCCGCTGTGGTTGCTTAACTTAATCTTCATGTTTAAAATGCAGGCTTGACTGCATTTAAGAATCCCTGAAATTCTTGGAAAAGTTCCAGTTTGTGAAGGTGTATGTGAATCTTCTTGTGTAAGAATTCATGACAAACAAAAACGTTATTAAGGGGGCAGTTCAGTCACCCTGATGTTTTTCTAGTCTGATGCCATGATGCAAGTTAAACACCGCCCAATGGTGGAGTTTAAAACCTTCATTTTTTCAGTTGGAAAGCTAACAAGGTGAAAGGATGGCTTTTGTCATTTCTGCTTCTACTAATGCAGATCAATATGAAATTAACTTACTGGAAATGAGATAACAAGTTGCGCAAATATTTTCTTGCAGACTTTTTCCAAATTTGGTACAGTCTTGAAAATAATTACATTCACGAAGAACAACCAATTTCAGGCCCTGTTACAATATGCTGATCCAACAAGCGCTCAGCGTGCCAAACTGGTGAGTAGTATGCTTGCAGTGCTAAACACCTGGATTATTTTAACTTTTAGGCTTGCTTTTGGTAATCTAGGATCAATGTTAGAAACTAGCATTTTGGAGTATTTGGCGATTGTATTAGGTTTATGCGAGCGTTGCCCCTAATGACAGGTCACGCATGGGAGTGGGAGGGAATTTCCCTGCCAAGAGCAGTACGGCTAGGTTGGGTGAATTCTGAAGGGGATAAAATGAAGCAGTGCTTTCCCCACACAAAGCAAGATGCCTGCTCCATCAGAAGATACGCACTGCTACCTGGGATGATGTAACACCTTCTCTCTTCAGAGATTTGTTGCTGTGATCTTAGCATGAATGCATCTTGGATGAAGAATGGTTTGTTTCCTTGCAGTTTTTACATGGACAGAGTATCTACAATGCCTGTTGTACGCTGCTCGTAGATTTCTCACAGCTCTCAAGTGTCAATGTAAAATACAATAACAATAAGAGCAGAGACTATACACGACCAGACCTACCTTCTGGGGATAACCAGCCCTCTCTGGATCAGACCATGGCAGCTGCTTTTGGTGAGAATTCTTGAAGTGGGAGGAGGACAAATGTAACTGATAAGTGTGTCAGTTGGGGAAGGGGATGTCATCCTAGTGTATTTGGTCATACAAAAATTTGGAATGCAAAATACGACTAATGAGGAAAGTCTGGGAGTCAGACTCGTGCAAAATCCTAGTAGGAGCATATGGAAGGGGGTGGATGCTGTGCTCTGAAAGCTCTTCTCCATTTGGGTGAGGACTGGTGAAGGCTTCCCAGCTGTCTGCGCTTCCAGTGCCATCTGCTGTTTTGCCTACAGTACGGACTCGGGGATAATTTGGGGTGTTCTGTGTTGTGGTTAAGCAGCCACAGGAGCTACTAGCTCGTATTCTGGACAACAGCTGTATTCTAATAGCTGTTTCAGAACAACAGAGTTAGAGGAGGAATAGTTTTTTAATTTCTTGAAGCTCAGTGTTACATTAGAGGCATTTTTGAATTACTGTTTATGTTTTAGGGTTTAGCTTTCAAGGAAATTCTGACGTTGAAGGACATGTCAAGACATCCCAGCTAAGTCTAGACTCTTCTTGCTCTTGGGTGTCTTTATATAATGCGTATATCTTTCCCAGGTGCCCCAGGAATAATTTCCGCTTCTCCATATGTGGAAGCTGGCTTTCCTCCTACCTTTGCAATTCCTCAGGCTGCAGGTAGTGTATTTCGTAAGTTGAAATTTTATATAAATTTTCTGTTGCTGAAGCATCTTGGTATTTCAAAGCTAAGTAGTGATTCTTTTTGTTGGGGTTAGTCATGTA